AAAAAAAAAAAAAAAAAAAAAAAAAAAAAAAAAAAAAAAAAAAAAAAAAAAAAAAAAAGAAACTTTATATTCATACAGTTGCGTAAGTACAGGTACACGCGATACCGAGCATATAATATACAATAAACTTTTTTAATATCGGCGTTTCGTCGCATCGAGCCAGAAAAGGCTTCCCTGTTTTTTTGCACAAGCCGCAAACAAAGCACCCGAGAGTCCCGATTCATCACCAACAACGGCTCTCTTTTGAAATTGAAAAGAAAAGAAAAGAAAAGAAAAAAATGGCCCAAGTTTGCATCATCGACAACGAGACAATGAGGACCAAGGAAAGAAAAAAAGCAACTCACTTGTCGGACTGTGCGCCGTTGCAGGCGACAGCGGCTATGTCGAACTTGTAGTTGCGCCGTTTCTCGCAGTTGAGGACGCGCAGGGCCCTGAGCTTCGCCACGCCGTTGTCCTTGAGTACTATCTCGAAGGGCGCCTCCCCGTGGTGCTTGTTGGCTATGCGGAACGAGCAGATCTTCGCCCCGAGAGCCCGGATCTGGGGCGTCACCTCGACGAGGGTCTCGTTCTCCTTAACCAGGCCATGGTAACCGCTCTCGAGGCTCTCGAGGTCCAGTCTCGGCACTGTTGGACATAACACACATACACGTGACGTTATATATTATCATCTCGATATCGATATGTTAAATGCATAGGTCGCTCTTGCGTGTATACGTGTGCTCCTCTCTCGTTTCGAGGTCGGACGGGGGAGGGGGGGGGGATTTAAAAAAACCAGCACGCTCTCGTCGGGGGGGGGGGGCCGCGCTTCACTTTCGGGAGAAAAACGTGCGCCGCATCAGTGTTGCAAAACATGTACTATATACTCGAGTACAGAGTGCAAGCCACGGTTGGTGGGTGCTTTCGCGGTAAATTGGAGCTTAATATGCTCGTCGTCGAGTGGCGTCATCGCCGGAGCGACAAAGATCTTTGGGTGCTGGGTCAAGACGCCCTCACGAAACTTTGTACTTTCGCATGTACATATACAATAGCTACTTGGCTTTGTACATTTATATGCATGTGTACAGGTACTTTCTTCGGGAAGATAACGCGATTCCCCCCTACCCTCGTTGAAAGGGGTTAAAACAAAAATAATCTACTTCGAACTTTGTAGTTTTTCATTTTATTCAATTAAACGACTTTCTTATCGCAATCGCGTCGGCTACTTTTTTTTTTTTTTTTTTTATCGTTACATAATGATTTGTAAAAATAACGTGACCAAATTATGTCACCGACGTACCAGCGGAGTATATAATAAATCACGAGTGGGATGTATATATGTAAAAGAAGCAATAGCACGTTGCGTATAAAATGTAACGTCGATTACGCTGGCAAAGTGAGGAAAGGCAACGTGTGTCATCGGACTGATATATTCCACTTTCAGCCGCGCGCACGAGAAGCTCGTATTTTATAAAACGCGTGCACACCAGCCGCGAGCACGTGCATGCCGGTCATTTTAATTAAAATTGTGAGGGGAAGCGAGAAAAAAAAAAAAAAAAAATAATGAAATAACGAGGAGGAATAACGAAGGCATTATCGCGGGAAAATTTTTCGGAAAAATTCGCGTCGAACAAAGCGGAGTGCACGAAGAAACAGGAGGGGCCTTGGAAATTACTGGGCATCGCGCACGGAATTCCAGAGGNTTTTTTTTTTTTTTTTTTCGAGAAAGAAACACTCGTGTCCTCGATGCAGCAAAAGTTTCCAAGAGGCAACGTAAGTATTATACATCTCCGACTTTCTCTCTCGAGCGCTCGCCGCAGCGGGAAAACGCTTGTCTCTCTTTCTTTTTTTTTTTCTCTCTCTCTCGTTAAAAAAAATCAGAGAAAATCGTTGGAAGGAGAGGAGATGGAGTTTTTTTTTTTTGCTCCACGGCTATTTCAAGTTTGAGCCCTATCGCTGGCGCTGCAGCTGATTCGACCGAATTGAGTTGCCTGCAGTTGGGCGAAGAAGGGGCTCCTCTTGGCAGTGACGTAGCCCGAGAGGTTTTTGGGATATACACATAATATGGACACGAAATAGTTGCCAGAGTCGAAAACGAAAAATTACGCGAGGCGGGAGTAATGGAAATCGATGCTCGTCCCGAGTGTTTTTGGAGGATTTGGGGGGGGGGGGGGTAATGATGACGAGAGGGCGCTTTAATGCGCTTCGCGTTAATGGGTAACATGTACAGCGTGTCGGATGTACGTGGATGATTCCTTGAAAAAGGTGCAAGTGTCGGGGAAGTCCTTGGACATATGGAAATTGGTTTTTTACCCTCAAGCGTAAGGGATAATATACAAAAAACGATTGGTTAATATTGAGTTTCAACGTGACCCACCATTGTTCCCTAAAATACTTGGAGCTCGAGTGAGAAATTTACAAAGTTGCAAAGAGTCCCATCTTAGCGGAACTGCGAATACGTTCAACTTGTTTTGGTCGAAGGATTACTCAACAAAGTCTTTCCTTCTTGAAATTCTATACTAAACGTGTGCTACGCCTCGACATATGTATTTTCACCAATTTTCGGGTGTATTTCTGAAGAGACTCGCAGTAAAAGCAAATCAAAAAAATCATTCTCCCAAAGGAACAGCATCACTAAGATATTTTTGTGGGATTGCTCACCATATAGGGGCGGGGCAGCGGGGAGGTAAAAATAAATTTCCATCGGGATAATCAACACCTCGCGCATTTGATATTTCCATTAGTGGCGCAACATCTCTGGTATTCAGTGATTCAACTCTTTTGCCGCACCCGCGCGTCGCATGGATATAGGCAGTAAAAACGAGTTAAAAAAAAAAAGATAACAGAGATCTATTGTGTATTTCATGCTACTCGAGAAGACCTACTTTTCTTGGATTTCTAGAGGAAAAGGAAAAGGTGAGTAAACGCTTACTCTCGCAAAACGGGAGTCGAGCTCGACAACTGTGCGCAACTGTGTGTGTCTACCTTCAACGGCACGTATAATGGCCAATTTTTATTTCCAATCGGTTCGATAAACAGCAAATCGATCGCGCGATATCACCCCGCGTTTGTCAAACAACTCAATTTACAACGCGAACGTACAGCTGCGAATGCAATTTAGTTTTTTTTTTTTTTTTTTTTTGTTTGTTTACCAATTCACCCTTGTCTGTCACCCGGTATATTGCTCTTGCCAGCCCCACTCGAGTCTTCATTAAAAATGAAAATTCAAAGCCGCTTCGACGAGTATTTCTTTTAATTCGCAATAAAAAGTCCTCTCTCTCTCTCTCTCTCTCTCTCTTCCTGTGGCTCTCCGTCTACGCGCAAAGGGAGGCGTAAAATTCGCGGACAAAGGGGAGGCAAAAGAAAATGTCATTTTTCACCCCACCGATTGTAATAACGCGGAAAATCCCTTTTAAATCTAGCTCGCATGATGCATGTATATACGTCGTCGGGGCGGAGCGAGCTTAACGGCGCCTATTTCGGGGCCCGCCGGCCAAACGTATTAAAACCGTGCATCTCTTCAAACCGGCCGGATAACGCGCGTATATATGTTCTGGTTCAGCGAGTTAACGGCACCGAAATCTAATTTTTTTTTCTTCTTTACAACCACCACGTTACAACTTTTATATATCCATTTAACTTCACTACACTATTATTTCGTGGTTACCAATGACATTTTACACTATAGGAGGGAGTGTCAATCGAAGGCAAAGTGTTATCACTCTCTCGCGCCAGTGTGGCACCTGCACGGACGTATACAATGCATGTACCCAATATTAATCCCCCATTGTGCCGCCCGACATCGCGCACCCCATGTAACACCTCGTGCAGTACAGCTCGTAATCCCACTGGCATAATATATTATAATATCAGGTACAACCTCGCTCTATTCAATCCCTCTATGTATATTTCAACTGTAAATATACCCGGGCGCGGTATATTTCACGTCGGCCAACATTTTATGCTTATCCCCACCTTTCCCTCTCGTCGTGCGAAAAACGTCTTGGAGTTATGGACGCGGGTGAAATCCTCATTTGAAAGAGCGATTCGCCAAAAAATGTCACATAAAGGGGAAAAACTCGCTCGCCCACCGGTGCTCCCCCTCTGGATTAAGACTCGCACAATGGGCGAGGGCTCTCTCTCTCTCTCTCTCTCTCTCTAAATTGGCCTTTCGAAAAATAGACGGCGTCGAGCGAAGTGCACCGGCCGTCGCTTAAATCTCGTTTCCAGCGGAGCTTGGGAAAAACGAGCTAAAACTCGCGCCCTCTTCCCCGTTACAACCCGCGGGGGTGGAGAGAATTTTTTTCGTGTTTCACCCGCCCACGCAGAGCACATATACATACAGATAGATGTTTTTTTTTTTTTTTCGGGGAGAACGGGAGATTGCAAGAATTCGCTCGAGAACAGCCAATCAAGCGCACTTGGTCACGTGTCTCGCTCTTTAAAATTATTGGACTGAACCAGAAGAACAAAAAGAAACATGGGATGTACATTTATAAACCCATCATTTACCCAGTATACGTTTCCAGATCGACATGACTGGCATAAAAAAACACGCACAGCGCGTGTAGGCGAGTACTATGTATTTATTCAACAAAGTGCCAATAAAGCCATTAAATGTTATGGGCAAAGGTGTGTGTGTCGCTCTGTTACAGGCCGCGCGTATACACGTATAAAATGAAATCTAAATTTCACGTCTCTCCTCTGTATATACAGCCTCTATGTATATGTGCTATTGAAGCATCAGCAGCTACCATATACGCGCGCGCGAGCTTTCATCGCCGCCGTGTCAAAGCGCAATCTACTTAAGCTCTCTCTCTCTCTCTCTTTGTGTGATATGTGTGTGTATATGAGTGTACACGCGTACAACGCCGTATAGAGTGTTTACACGGGGCGTAATCTTCCGCTGCAGGCGCGCCGTCGTCGACTTTTATTCATTATTCCTCCTCCCTCCTCCTCCGTATGGAAAAACGATGGCTGCTGTTGCCGCTTCCCTCGTTGTAATGAAAATCATCGGTAATCGATATTAACCCCAGCCAGGAAGAGTATACGTATGTACTATATCGAAACGCGATGTGGGCGATGAATCGTCATGGGTGTACCATTATGAAAAATTCAGCGCGTTACCGCGCTCACTCACTCGCCGTGTCTCTAGAGTAGGTGTGCGATGCCTACTTGTATACACATACAGCTGCGTGCACCGAACAAACGGGACAACCTGGTGGTCTACGTTAAAGTATGCACGAGGGAGACCTTATTGCGGCGAGTCGTCGCCGCCACCTTTTGCACTTTGCTCCAATTTTCCCGAGACGTGCGCTCCCTGTACGTAGAAGAAAAAAAAAAAAAAAAAAAAAAGTATAGTGGCTGCTGGCGAGGACGACCAGGAGCTCCTTTATTATGCATTTCTACGCTTTGACCCCCCGCCCCCCGCCCCATCTTTTGGGTGGTGGCGTCGAAAAGATGTTGGCTGGTGCCGAGAATAATATCATGGCGAGATCTTTTAACGTTTCATTGGCGTCCCACTTTAAGTAAATATTTTTTTTCAAACATCAAAAGAACGGGGTATCACGAAGGCCCCCTTCAAAATACACAATAAGTCAAACTCAATTGATACTTTGGTACTATGACCCGCTTAGTGCAAGTAAAAA